CCCCAAAAACCCCAAAACCCCAAAACCCCTCTAGCCAACATTTAAAATTAATATTGGTATTACAAATAAGGATAATAATATAATAAAAATGTCAAAAGACCAAAGTGAAATAAAGTAGTTGGTCTCACAATTAGAATCCCATTTAAATCACGTAGAGCTTAGCATTAAGAAGCAGATCAAAGTTCATTCAAAGTCCACAGATGCTGAACTTGATGACTTATTCTTATCTGAAGATTTCAACAAGCATCTACTAATAAACAATATACAGATATTAAAGCAATTCAACGCAAAGCTGTCCTCTAATGATCTTGAGAACATTGAGAATTAGTGTTTTGACTAAGCAACTAATAGACTTAAAACTTATCTAGAGCTTCTTAACGAGCACATTATAAAGATTATTGAATCAGAGTCAGATGAGTTCCTCTAAGTTGCAGCGAAACTAGAAAGCTTCAAAGATATACTTGGTGATCTCAAGGACTCTGTCAAGGATTTTCACTCTGCCTTCAAAAATGAAAAGACACAGACTTAAGATATTTTTGCATACATGCAATAATAATACGAAGAGCTAAATATCATAATTTATGAAAAGGAGAAACTTTAAAACCTAGTCAACATTTAGGAGTAATTCTGCTAGATGGAATAATTGATAAAGTCATATGACATTATTGCTTAGTAAGCAGCTGAAGATAGTTATCTTGAACTTGAGTAATGCATTAGAATCTTATCTGATCTAAAGCAGTCAAGTGTAATTGATATCAACACTCAGCAGAATCTGGCTTTAGTAGAGAGAGATCTAACTAGCAAATTAATGGCTCTAACATCAAACTTAATATAGAAATCACAGATATTTAAGCACAAATCGTAATCTGATGAGGATTAATTGTACTTTGAGAAATGTTAATTGTCAAGCATTTTGAGGTGCTTTAAACTACTTTAAATCTAAAAATCATTTTTTGACTTACTCCAGAATTATATTGTGAGGCCCGCTATCAATTCTCTAGTCAAAAAGGCCTTTGATGCTAAAAGTAATGTTATATCAGTGATGAAGGGTGATAAAGACTAGCTGCTGCCTTTTTAGATCTATATCAATGGTATTTAAACTGAGTTATTGGAGGGGACGCTAAGAAGCCTTTTAGAGATAACTCTAACTAATGAAGATGATTACAATTTTGTGGCAGATTTCAATGTGATTCAGGACTGCGTTTGGCCAATTATGATTAAGAGTCTGGATCAGCAATTATCGTTTGTATTCTCATCGGGGTTACAGATGTTTTAAAAGAATTTTGTTATTGCCAAGTAATTCACTGAGTATCTTGACAAGAAATTTAATTTGACAAGCTTTGCTGATGAACTTATTCTTAGATTTAATGTTTAGACTTACCTCAACGTATTAGTCATTGAAAATACAGATAAATTTTCTTAAGAAATAGAGAAGTAGTTCGACTAAACAAATGACAGTATAAAGCCTTTGCATCAAATAACCATTAGTTATGCTGTGAAAGTTCTGAAAGACGATCTCTATTTGGAGGAAATCGGTGATAAACTGATTAAACTTTCTATTCAATTCATAGTTAGACACCTTAACTTTGTAATGGATAAGGTAAATGAGAGGAAAAGTATGGCAACAGAAAGAATCTTATTTATACTAGAAGATTTAAGTGCATTGCAGTTGGATATTAAGAATATTCTACAGCCTTTGATATTGGTTCGACTTAGTTTCATGGGAGGATAGAAAGGGGACTAGGAAGAATTATAGGTAAAATTTGTGAATCCATTACTCAAAGAACTTAAGTTGAGATTTGATTTACTAGCTTAGCCTTGCATTCAGGGTATCAGCACAAAGATACATCAAAGATTGACTGAAAACATCTAGGCTTTTAAGTAAGTGCCAGCTATGTATAGAATGACTAACAGAGATGTATAAAATCAGCCCAGTCAGTTTCTACAAAACATGCTGAATCCTCTATAAAACCTCAGTGAGTAGAAATTATTCAGCACTCTTAGTGAAAACGTTAAGCATAAGCTGTATGATAATGTGCTCCAAAGCTGCTTAAAGGAAATTTCAAACCTACTAGAGGAAATACTTGGAGAAGAAAAAAAGATGCATGAATCTTTGATGAAGTATAAAAAGAACAATGCTGGTGAAAATGTGCTAACAGATTATGATAAAATGCTTATACAATTCTATATAGTAAGTTAAACTCAAATTTATGATTTAAATATAGGATATAAAAGAATTTGATTCTAAAATAAAGAGACTCTACGGAGATAGAATTGATTATAAAGATGCTTTTGAGAATTAGTTGGAAATGGTTTACCTACTTATTTCACATGGAGGGGAATTATATGTAAAGTTATTCAATTGATTTTAATAATACTTGCTATTCAATCAATTTGGGATTATGGGGTTTTGGGGTTTTGGGG